TTGTTTAGATCTAAAGTAGCCATAATCTAAAACACAAATTCAAATTAGAAAAATCTGCTACAGATAAAAAAACTAATTTGAATATAAAAGAGAAAAAAGAAAAAGAAAACAAATAAAAAAAGAAACCTAATCTATGAAAAAAAATCTCTTCTAAATTAATAAAAATATTATACTACACAACAGTGAAAGTATATATCTCATTGTTTATACTAATTCTATGATTAGATCTAAACAGGTTGTCTAACATGTTTAGCATTTCTATGTGTTATTGTTTTCTTATACAATATTATGTATTAATAGACTATCCAAATTTAGAAATAGTTAACAATATCAATCTTTGTATAGAAGTATGCCAAATTCCTACAATTATATAAAAAAAGACCAAAAATTGAGAGAGAAGGTAGTAGTTGTAGAAACTATAGTGGCAAAAGAGAGTAAAGTACTTAATCTAGCTCAAGTACTATAGTGAGTACTTCTTTTTCTTCTTCAACTTTTCTTCTTTTATTATTTAAAAACAAATAATATATTTCTCTAAAAAACCTCGATAGTTACTTCTCACCAAAGCTAAGTCTTATGCTTTATACTACTTATATCTACACAAAAACTAGCACCAAACTAGTTTAGACATACTTCGCATTGTTTTTTCTATTAAGGTTACTGTATATTTCTTCAAAATATTAGCTACATTATTGTTTTTTAAAAATAAAAGTTTTGCTCTACATATGGTTCAGATGATTATCAGAAAGAGTTAATTGATTTATTTGTTGTTATTAAGATATAATTAATAAGAATTATATATAAGATATTTCTAATAACTATATTTATAATCACTAAGTTGAAATTAAACTAGTTATTATAAAGAGAATAGTTAATTATATATAACTATTATAACTTATCATAATAATTATATATAAATATGTATAACATTATTTCTATACAAGTTGTTTACAACTATAGTACAGAATTAAAAGACAATATTATTTAGTAAGAGTGAAAATATAGTAGCTATTAGTAAATAGATAATGTATTTAAAGAGTACTTTTTGACTTTAATAAAAGTTTTTAGACTTCAATATCTTAATATAAAATAAGAATTAATTTTTTAAATAAAGTTTTTGATGCTTTAATATAATAAATATAGATTAATCAAAAACTTGTACTAAATAAACCTATTTTAAAATTATAATTAGAGCTAAACTGTTTATATATATATATATATATTGCTTTTCTAACTAATTATAATAATATATTTTTGTAGATTTAGATTACAGATAAATTAGTTTGAGTTTTAAATCTTAATATATAGTCTAAAATTATACTTTGTAGTATCATAGAATATAAAAATTTCTTTTGTTTTTTTTTTTTTTTTGTTGTTAAGGTAGCTTATATTGCTAAAAGAATTTTATTAGAATTGTCAACAGGATTATATATTGATAATCCCTACTATTTGTAATTACATGAAGAGTGTACAACAAGCTACATATACAACTTTAGTCATTGTCTATATTAAGTAGTCTGCCACACAGGCATTAGGCCACCTGATTAGTTCTATACCATACTGCCATACTTGTAACTCACCTGTAAGTTACCTATTTAAACACTCTGTTCATTAACCCATACAGATCTAATCTAACGTTACCGTAATATCTAACTACTTAAGTCAGCTAGCTCATTACAGATCTATTTATTCAGAATAGCTTAGGCCCTCTTGGAATACATTATATTAGATACATTGCTAGTACTGCAGAGCCAGTTAACTTAGAAGCAAACCTACTAGAAGGTCTGTATCTATTTTACAGATTTACCTAGCTTAAACCTTTGTAGATGTTCATACAACTTCAGGTTCTACTGTAATCCTCTACTGGTCAGTTGACCTAGTCCTTTTCTAGTATTTAGCTGGTCCTAGTTACCCTTTACCCGAATAATTAGGAGCCATATCCTTCACGACATAGATAGTGAATTACTAATTAGTAGGATAATAATTTAACGAATAAATAATTTAGATAGCTGAATAGTTTAATTGGTTAGTTAAATAATCGAACAATTATTAGTTTGTATAATGATTAACTTATGGATCACTTTAAGTTATTAGTTTTCCGTACAATACCACCCTTATTTAAATCTTTGTAAACCCGATTTTCCCTTAAATCATTAATCCCAATCTTTATATAAGACACGACTCTGTCATAGATAGATTACCAATTTTTTTTTTTAGTAATTAGATTATAAAAACCAGTAACCCGTTAACTATTGGAGCTAAACTGTGCAACGTTACCCGCTCTCCCAATTCACAATGGTAACAGTAACTAAGTTAAGCTTCAGCACTTAACAATAACTCCAATATATAAGTAATATTTACTAAAAAATTTTAATAATAAAAGAACTAAACTGAGTACATTACATAGAGAACCGCTATGAGATCCTATGCAACTTGGTTACAAAAATCACATGAAATTGTGACTGCATCAATTATATATATTCCAACAGTCGACTTTTTATGAAACTATCTTCTGCGCATTAACAAAAAGAGTTGTTTTAAAATTTTGGTATAAAATAAGCTTTACTTAGTTCATAAAGCTAATCCTAGCATAAAGTTTTATTATAAAAATTCTATTGCTCGGTGCATTTTTCATGATCCAGCTGTGGTAGCTAACCGCAGACTATGCTTATTTTTTTATCGATTGACGAATTTGCTTTTTAATCTTCATTTTAATCATGTTTAAATTAAAATAGTCAGCAGATCATAGCTACCCGTAACGAGTTTACTTAACGATATAGTTACAAAATTTATTCAATTTTAAAAATAGTAAAAAATCGCACAATAATATTTGCTGTAGAACGAAGAGGTGTATAGTTAATTTACTCACATTATTCGAATTATTACGAAAATCATTACCGACATCAAATATTGAAGAATTCAGTGCACATTAATTAGTTCTACATTTTTTGTCCCATTATTTTCAAAAGGCTCAATCAGAAAGAAAGATTAAAAACATGAAGTTTATATTATTAAAAAAAAACAAATATTCATCCTAGTTAATTTTTGAGTGAATGTTTTATAATCAATTACATGGTCTTTTTTTTTCATTGTTAAACATTTTCTATCTTCATTGTTAAACATTTTTTATCTCGATTAATAACTACGACTATCGTGATCGAACCACGTAAATACGAGAGAACTTTCGAAGCCAACACACGAAACTAACTCAGAACGATAAGTATACCTTTCATATTTTTTAGTTTTTTTTAGTATCAAATAAAAATTTAATAGTCGATCTGATAACTATCATATTTTATTAAAAGAGATAATATGGTAAATATATTTTTCTTTGGACAAAGATAAATGAATTGGACTTATTGCTAATACATAAACTAATTTTTTCTCACCAACAAATTAATTATAAACATGTGCGACCTTATAAACTTATTACCAATTACAATATAAAACAATCCAGGTTACATTAACATAATTTCATTATCTTTTTTCAGTGATTTTTTTTTTTCCTTTCGCATTTATTCTAATACTCCTTTTTCGTTTCCTAGGTTGTAAATTTTCTTCTTGTTCTTCATTAATTTGAACATCATTGTCCAACTCATCATCGTCTTCAAATTCAGGTTGTTTGTCTTTTTCGTCATCTTGAGCATCCAGATCAACGTAGTCTGGTTGATAACGGGACTTTTTTCTTTCATGGGGGGAGCTAGCTTCGGTACTGGCACTGGCACAAGTCTCTGACGACTTAGAAGCGTTAATACTATTAAGTTTAACTGAAGAAGCAGAGAATTCAGCAGTGTTCGATTCAACATCATCAGCAACAATATCAATAATAGATCGCGGTCCAGAATTTATTGAGAATAAATTTTCGAAAGGGTTGTAACTTAAATTTGTAGTCTTTAAATAGTCGATATCGGTTGCCTCGATAATCATCTGACCGGATGTCGAGAACTTAAAAAGACCTGATACAAAATAAGTATTACCTAGTTTGATATTCGATCCTGAAGTACCTAGATATTTTTGAAACCTAGTAGCCCGAGAAGAATAAAAAACTATCATCTGCATTTTAATATCAGGGGTACCAGTGACAGAGTTATATTCGATACTTTCTACGCCGAAATGGATATATTCTTCAATTTCTTTTGGTTTACGGTTAGCGGTTACAGAGAACATGCAATGAGGGAGGCATATAGGAACATCACTGACATCAAATTCATGGTTAGGATTTCCGGTATCAATAATACTTGCATACGTAATGGTGACACATTGTTCAGAGTTTTCAACCACATATTTGCCTGAAATAAATACGAGGTCACCAGATGTAAATAGCTGAGGTTGTTCATTCGTGAGAAAGAAATACTTCCATCTAATTATTTGAGAGGTTTCATTTGAGATCTTATATTTAGCAAGACCGTATGAACAAAGGCGACCATTTTTCACAAAGGTGATGGCAATGAGAAGTGCAACATGTGAAGGCATTTTGTTTGAATTTAATATATCAAATAACTGTTAAAACAGAAACTCGGCCTTTTTATAAAAAAAAAGTAAAGTTGGTAAATGCAGTTAATTTCCTCCCACGATCAATAATATACGTTATATTTACATAAAGTTATCATTATGATAAATATAGGAATCTAATTAAAGGAAACGTATATTCGATATTCAATAAACCCACCCAAAGCTTTAACAAGACAATTTCCTATTATGATACAATATCTATATTAACAGAATACGGTATAACGACACTGATAAGTTAATTTCCATCTATGATCAATAATATACATTAGATTTACATAACGTTACCATTATGATAAATATATTAATTTAATTAAAGGAATATTATATTTAATATTCAATAAATCTACTCAAAGGCTTTAACAAGACAATTTCCTAATACGATACAAATATCTATACGTATTAATTGAGTACAGGCACAATGACACAGATAACAATAAATATATTATTCTTGCACACTATTATGACATACTAGAAAATATCTTATCGCATAATGATTACCGGATTAATAAAATCAACAAATCATACCGATACGTGATTGCTAATTAATTGTAGTTCAGCCCCGATTTTATACAAGAAAACAGTATCGGTATAAATCTAAATTATGCCAAAATAGGTTAAACAAAAGGAAAATCGGCGTCAACATAAATAGTAAATTCTTATGCCAAATTGATAACAGGTATAATCTTGAATAAAACGAGTAAAAAAAAAAACAAGCTAAAACTCGATACATATAGTGTCTTAAGTTTACCTGACAAGAATTTAATTATACTAACGCTAAACAGTGCCTTTTATAAAACAGCGCACAAATACAGAAACTATAAGACATAATCACGAGGTACGATTATCCAATCAGATAACAGGAATTGCTCACTCCACTTAACTTGTCAGTAAACCATACACTTCGTTTTACTCCGTTCCTG